ACCTGACCAAACTTGACATGACAACCAGACAGTGTGAGTGTGAATGTATGCCGGCATGTGATCAGTGTAACTGCATGATTCTAAAACAATAACTAACCAAGCATGTTTTTGGACTAACATATTATTTTGGAGCTCCAAGGGAAACGAGAGGTTTCCTAAAAATTCCACAAAAAGGGGAAACCGCACATGTGATATTTTACTCTCACATGAGTTGGCGGTTGGCAAATGTAAAACTACAATCTGAAGATTCTGTTTCTTTTAGGCCTGAAGGACGGAGAGGAACACTTCTTTTCACTGAAGTGTTCACTGTGGAAATAATGATAATAATGTTCGTTATGTCCCTAACCAATTACCTGACAGTTTTTGTTCCCCTCCCATTACAGGCTTTTGTTACACATGATTTCATGTGTAAAAGGGGGGAGTGAGTATAATGTATAAATGTCAACATGGCTGTAAAATTCACAATTTACATTTTTCTTTTAAGGATTGAGCATTGAATGTAATTAACCTGCTCCATATCTGGGGATAAGATACTGTTTGATGAATGTTGAGATGTTTCTAAATATTGATTTGAATTATAACAGGTAACAAAGAAGCAGTGGCCAAGGGGCTACTGTGAAACCGAAGAAGTTGACCTGTGATAGTTAAACAATTTTGTAATATTTTAACAGACATTAGAGTAACTGAGGTTTGAAATATAGAAAGAACATATTACAGTTAAGTTAAGCTAAAACATAGTAATGTAATGAGACAGAATTTAATTTAGACAACATCATGTAACTAGCCTGGTAAAGAAGTAAAAGCCATATACTTTATTGTTTAGGTTATTATAGGGATATACATTTCATCTAAATTTAGAATAGAAAGACATTTGATGACAGTTTGTTGGAATTCTGTATTCATTTTTTCAGCGTGATAATATCTAAGCACTGACAGGTAGAAGCAGAATCACCAGGAAATCATTCACTTTGTTAGTATCGTGATTTTGGTTGTTTTTGAATCCATAACATTAGTGTGTTTCTTTACCAGAAACATTAGTAGTTCATATTATATTTAGATTTTAAATAGGATTTCATTTAAAAATAAACACAGATGCTTGTCAGAAATTCAGAGCTATTGAAATATGTTATTTAGTTTACCTAAAGATGTTGAGGTTCTTATTTAGTTGGCACAATCCAAGTATTAAGATTCTGAAGCTGCACTGGCAGATAGGAGGTCTACAATTAATTTGGAAAACCTGTTCACAGACGGCTGTTGTTTCAAGACACCCCACCAACAGGCTCCAAGTGGGTCAAAACAGCTGAGCGTAGGCTTGAGGGAGTTGTATCAGATTTCTCCACACAGGTCACTGGCGCCAAAAGGGGGACCCGAGAAGCACGAGGACAAAGTGGCTCAACCCCAGGCTCTCCGACCCCGACCGAGTGACCCAGCGGACCTCTTATGCCGTCTGCCTGGGAGAAAAGGGGGACAGCTCGTACCACGGGAGCCAGTGTGCGGCGGGGAAACCACCTGCTAGGACCAGGGGACGACATCAGGACGGACGTGGCCCTGGCAGACGTGGACTACTCGGAAGCAGCAGACTGGAGGAGCAGGACCCTGGAGACATCCTTACAGCAGACGACCCGGGAGGCATCATCAGCGGGCCGGAGAAGGAGGACCCTGGAGACATCTCTACAGCATCGACCCGGAAGCCGCCATCAGCGGGACGAGGAGGAGGAAGACATCTCTCTAGCAGGCAGCCCAGAAGCTGCTGTCAGCGGATTTGGGGAGACAAAGACACGGCAAGCCAGGACGGCGCAGCAGAGGAGTCTACTTTGCTCTGATCAGTTCTACCCGTGAAGGGAAAGCTGCATCTCCCCCTCCCTATTAGCTGTCCTTGTGGGCTATTCCTCGGGGGGGGGGGGGGGCTGATGATTCTAGCACTCAGCTACCCCCTCATGGTTCCTTCACTGCCATGGAAAGTGGTGTTCTGTCTCCATGAAGGTTTCAAGTACTCTGAATACCAGCTTCGGATGGATTTACGGACACAGTAGAAAAGAATGACCGTGGGTATATTTCAAAATGCCTTGTCTAAGTTTATCTCTGGAGAAGGAGATAAAAAGGGGGATTTGTAGAGTTATATTTGTATTTATTCATGTTAGCAAACTATGGATAAGCTTAAAATGAGAATAATTTGGGTAAAACTGTGAGCTGCATTTGGGGCCTGTTGACATGTGTTTTTGAGGACAAAGGAAGATGGGGGAAGGGGAGAGCATGTCCTGATTTGCATTCAACTTAGATCTAGCTGCAGTGTTTGTGATGTTAAGAGAGGTCCCTTGGGTTTCTCTGGTGCTTATCAATAGTAGCAGTTAAGTGAATACTGTTCAAACAATACCTGTGTTTGTGTTTTATATTGATTTCTCTGTTTTATCCTTTCATAAATGTAAGGACTACAAATGGCTATAAACATTCTGGGCTGGTTGGAGTAAACAGGGTTTTATGGCTCTGTGGGGGAGGTGTAGGTATGCAGGCCTTGAGACCTTTTGTTGTAAAGTGAGCCTGTTTGGTTTCCTGCTGCGTTTCCTGCTGCGTTGCGTCTCCCAATGAGATGACCTGAAAAGATGACCAGCTGACCTAACACCAAACCCCTCCTTCTTACTCTGGTATATATCCGGTGGATCCCTGGCGTTCGGCCTCTTCTTCACATGCTGCCCTCGGGTGAAAGTAGCTCTGTAGTATGCGGACTAGAGCAGGAGTAAGCCGGCATTACTCCTTAAGCATTGCAATATAACTGTAATATATCATGTTGTATTGTAATGATTGTATTGCATTGTCATATTGCCATTAAAGTAGATTATTGTTAACGGTTACTTTGTAGCTATGGATTCCTTCCTGTATTATAACCAGCTTCATAGGAACGCGCGGAGATTTGAAAAGCGGACCAGTTATCCCTCCAAATCTCCAACACTACGCCTTTGTGGGACAAAAGTTCATGAAGCGAGCCCTGCCGCTGCTGAGGAAATGTGTGCCCGGGGTTCTTCTGCCTTCCAACCGAGACTTCTCAGATAGCTCATACAGGAAGAGCTCAGTGTCTCAGTCCTCTGCTGTCACCTCCATCATGTAAAAGGTGTAGGGCAGATTATGTTATGGTTTTATGGAAGTCTGTACACTGTGATGAGATTATGAGCCTGACAATTAAAGAAATACGTTCATACTGTATGGAATAGCTGTCACTTTGGAAAACAAATGTTCTTCATAACATCAAATTGTTTCTCTCCCCTTGCTTGTGGAAACAGTTTCTCATTCATGTTTGATTAATCAAAACCACAAAGTAAAACAAACAGGGTGATGTAAAACCTGTTGAGCTGTGTATGGGATTTATCAAGGATTTCAATCTATTGACAACAATGATCTCTTCCTACACTTTCATAACTCCCAACATTGTTTTATGGCTCACATTTGTAAATATGTAAAGTAGTATGTACATATTTAGTTTTTAACACTGTTTTTATACTGTTTACCTTTTTTTGTTGTAATGTAACATTACCAAGACAATGACAGACTGCTTCTATAATAAGCACATGTTCCTTACTGTTACATTTGGCTGAGAAGATATATTTTAATTGTCATTAAAGAAGAGGTGCCAAAAAGAAAAGGTATTTTGTCTGTGTGATTTTTAACATATTAAAAGGAACCCTCCCCTACTGTTAGAAACATTACTAAGCGACTACATTTTAGTCTTAAAGAAGTTATGTTGAACCATTTTAATCTGAATTTTGATATACCGTTAATCTGTTGCATAACATTTAAACATCCAAGCTAATTTGAATTCTAATTTTAACTGCGAAAGTTTTACATATTAAAAATAAAACTCAAACAAAAATCTCTTACTCCTGGCGAGCTAAAAGCTACTTTCCAAAGTGAACAGAACACATATAGAAAGAAAAGCTCCTCATTAGAATACATATTCCCCTACTCACTTGTTGCTACATTTCAACAGATGCAAAGGAACATTTCTGAGAAACCACACTGACACCTTTGCACAGTGTTAACACCAAGCAGAGGAAACAACAAAAACCAAGAATTACCACCTTACGAGAAATGCGCTCTGCAGCAGGATTTGACACAAAAAGAGAGCAATGCAAGTTGACAGGCTGACATATATGCTTGATGCCCAGCACACCAGAATATACACTCAGGAACAGTGATTTTGGCATGCGGTAAGCATATTTCCATTTTCAAACGTCTAGTTGATATATAATAAACCTCCTCAAACATCTATACAGTGTTACACCTATATGTGTAGTGGAGGATTGTTAGTGCACAGCCGCGTGCGTAAACAACGTCAGCCACAGGAAGTGGGGGTCGACATGGTGTCAAGGCAGGTGGTTCTGCAAATGTTTGATAGTGAAAGAAAAAATGTTTGAGATGTGGTTTAAAAGAGATCACATGAATTTGATTATGGTCAGAGTAGAAGGAAGTGTGTGAAATTCATAGACAGCTGCGTATTAATTCTCCATCTAAAGTGTTGATGTTTGTTGATAATGTTTGTTGTACCTCTTACATTACTGTACATAGGGAGAAGGTTCAATATTGTGAAGTTATCATCAGTTTATGACGATAGAATTCTATCAGATTTGGATCTTTTGTAAGGTTTGACACAGAAGCCTTTGAACTTTGTTACGGAAGCTTTTCAGACATGAGTCAGGGACTGATGAATATATGTGAACGTTTCAACTTAAAGGGCAGGAAAGTCCACTAACATCTCTCAATTCCCTCGCATTTATTCATACATGTTCTTTTTTCAAATAGTTTCTTCGTAATTTGAGGCTAGTATCAGTACAAAATGTTCAGTGTGGAAAATACACACGAGTCCACTCGACATGATTGTGGTAACCATGATAGCAAAAAGGAACAACTATCTCATCTTCTTTATGTTTCCTGAAGATTTGTGAGTGGAGGTAACACTGAAAGTGAAGAAAATTGAATCAAGAGGATCTCGTTGTTGATATTGTAAGTATTCAACATTGATATATTTGAATGATTCAGCCGCTTTGACTTCACATTACAATCGGAAGATATTCATGTAAATCTAGTGAGAAATTCAGGGATATTAGGAATTGTCTGGAATAACTATAATCATCCAACACGGTCGCTTTTTTTGCCAAACCCTCTGTTATTTAACTATGATGTTTGAGAGAAGTCTATAAAAGGAGATAGTGAATAACAGGATGCGGTTTTGGACGAGAAAAGCTGAAATAACTAATAAGAGTCAATAAGAACTTAAATTGTTTTGTATTTTTGTCCCTATTTTGTATTTGTTAATTTATTAATGAAGGTCTGGGAGGAACACTTAAATGACAAACTGCAGATCAAACTACTTGTGTTAGGTTTGAAAGTCCAAAGCTTTGGAGTTACTTTTAAAGGACAGAGCTGTTCAACCATAACTCAATGATTTACTTTACTTATGGTTTTATCAAAAAACTCTATATTTGTATCTGTTTTATCCGGTACCTTATGTGCCCCTAATACCCGTGTTATCACTTGGTGAAACCCATCAGACTTCAACAATTGATGGAGACATGGGTTGCCCTCGTTCAATACCAACATGGATTGTACTAGAACAACATACCATTGCACACACACAAACCAGTAAGCCTATTCACCAACATGTAAAGATAAATGATGACATTGTAGAGAATGTGAATCTTTGAAGTGTTATATACTAACATCTTTATTGTTGTATGTAAATCATATGATTTTTATTTTTTGCTTCTTGACTTAGTGATTGAATAATGGTAATTGTGGTAATATTGAATTACTTTGTGGATAGTATGATGCCACCTAGTCACCCACACCCCAACATCTGTTGCTTCAAGCAACCACAATGTTTTTTTCAACTTTATGCGTCATGCTAGATATATTTGGAACATCATGGGTTTTTTACCTTGCATGTCACATTGTGTTTACCCAAAGTAATCTACGTATGTTCTTTTCCTCCTCACACAGCAGTATGACTATACCAGAGTATGAGTACTTGGACTATGATTACAATGACACCTGTGATCAGGATGGCGGTCCAGAGTTGCCCAATGGAACCACAATATTGCACATGCTGTACTACATGCTGTTTTTTCTAAGTGTGCTAGGTATTTTCAAACAAGAATCTTACAGATAAATGGAAAAAGTATCTCCTTTAACACATTGTGAGAAAAACTTTAGTATGGATAAATCATCTGAATTGATTTCACAGGCAACACCACTATTTTCTGGGTTCTGATCCGGTACATAAAGTTGAAGAGTATGACGGACGTATGCCTGCTCAACCTGGCTCTGTCTGACCTCATACTGGCTGCATCCCTGCCCCTCTTGGTCAACTATCAGAACCTCGCAACCTGCAAACTGCTGACAGGAGTCTATCAGGTGGCACTTTATTTCTTTACTTTCTTCCTTTTAACCATTTAGAATACAAAACCATAAGAAGTCCATTATAATTCAAGTTTGAAACTCAGTGGGTTTGGGTACTTTCAGAAAGCAAAACATATTAAAAAATGCCGATTACCAATTATCTATAAAAAAAACACGTCCTTCTACAAGTGCCGTGTCTAAGGGTTTAAGGGTAAAGTGGAGCAAAGTAAATAATGATTCTGCAAAAATTGAATATGTTGGTTGTGCACCTGTCTCCCTACAGTTCGAGTTGTTTTTATAATGTGGGGGATATTCTGCTAAAAATAAAAGGTGAGATGAGATGTTTTCTATGGTAACGAACAACAGCTCTGCGAGACACCTGCTGTGTAATGTATGAATAACCTAATTGAGGCCAGGTTAACCGGATTCTGATGTTCCTTCCCCCTCTGCTTCTTTGAACAGGTGGGCTTCTACAGTGGAAATCTGTTTGTGACCCTTATGAGTGTGGACCGCTACTTGGCTATTGTCCATGCTGTTGCAGCCATGCGAGCCCGCACACTTCGCTATGGAATCATAGCCAGCATCACTATCTGGATAATTTCAGTCATCATGGCAATCCCTGGGTTGAGATTTGCCGCCTTGGAGATAGATCCAGACGACAACAGCTCAATGTGCCAGCCAATCTACCCAAATGAGAGTGAGCATTTGTGGAAGATGCTGAGAAACTTCAGCGAAAACACAGTGGGGCTATTTGTGGGCCTCCCCGTCATGATTTTCTGCTATGTGAAAATACTTGTTGTGCTGTCCAAGTCCAGGAACTCCAAAAAAGACAGAGCTATAAAGCTAATATTCACAATAGTTTGCGTGTTTGTCATTTGCTGGGTCCCCTACAATGTTGTGGTTCTTCTTAAAACTCTACAGCTGTTCCTGGAAACCCTGAAAACCTGCCAGGCTCAAAAAGCCATCAACTCTGCAATGAGCTATGTTGAAATCATTGCACTGTCTCACTGCTTTGTGAATCCAATCATCTATGCATTTGTAGGGGAGAAGTTTAGGAAGTCCCTGCGTAATGCGCTGACTAGGTACTTCTGCTGGAGGCAGCTGAGCAGAGGGACTCTTAGCCACAGAGACACCACCGAGAAAGAGACGTCCAACACGCCTGTAAAATCTGATTATTAAGAATGCTACAAACACATTGTTACAAAGACTGCGCAGTGTGTGTGTATGTGTTTGTGTTTGTGTTTGTGTGTGTGTGTGTGTGTGTGTGTGTGTGTGTGTGTGTGTGTGTGTGTGTGTGTGTGTGTGTGTGTGTGTGTGTGTGTGTGTGTGTGTGTGTGTGTGTGTGTGTGTGTGTTGCATGTGGTTGCTGCTTCAAAGAGGTGAACAAGAAGAAAGGATGTTTTTATTTGGAAAGTGTAACAAATATTATGAAACATGTATGGAAATCTTGAAATTCAAAGTATATTAGTCTTTGTCAAATGCCATTGTTTTGTAAACTAAAACAAAATAAAATGTGCTTGCTTATTTCTTTTTATAATAAGTGAGAACAACATAATTCTGAGATGTGTGTGTTATGTCAAAGAAGTGCATCTTGACAGCATTGCATCACTTTAAATCTATTGGTGGTATTTCCTTCTTGGTAGATTGTAAGTACTTTCCAAGAAGTGTGCAGAGCAGAATCCCTTTACTCATTTAAAAACCACTGACTAATTTAAAAACGGTGCATTTTTGTTTTTAAATCTGTAACAAGCATCTCACTCGCTTTAGATATTAGTTAGAACCTCAGTCCCTACACAGAGAAAGTAATTTGCTTCCCATACATGGCGCTATTTTGAAACTACACTTATGCAGTTTCAGGAGTCTTTATTCCAAACATAAAAACACATACAACATGAAAAACTCTTCAATCCTCCAATACTGCTCCGGTTTGCATTGCATCTTTTAGAGCTTGCATTTGTCGACTAGGGTTATGGTTATCGACAGACACTGTGTGATATTACATGCATGATGCACGGTTTGAAAGCATTGCAGGAAGCTACAAACCACCAAACATATGCATACAAATATACTGTATCACTCTTCTAGGCAAGCCTGCAAGCAAGCCCTCCTGGTTTGGTGAAGAGATGGAAGTGATGTTTAATGGGTTGCACACCACAAAGAGGTGTGAAAAAATAGGTTTGCACACAGTGCTTTCTGAGCTTGCTTCCATATCTGATCATTTATTTGATCTGGCCGTCCACCTCATCATCTTTGGTCTAGAATAAAACACCACTCTCAGCTATCTTGTTAACATCACTGGTAGGTACATTTATATTTAATTTGTTACATGCACATGCTTAATAATAAGAACATGTACATATCTTTGTTGGAAATAAGCTTAACATGTATTGAAATGAATTGATTAACTCTGACCCTACTTGACTCCATTTTAAATCTGACTGAACAACTGTGTTTGTGCAAAAACTCTGTAAATACATGTTCAGGTCTGTATCAGGAAAGTGATGGATAGTTAAAGGCTGTAGCAACGAGAGAAGTTGGTGGTTTGCTTTTTAAAAATAGTGAGCTAGCTTCCCTGAAATCTGTAGGTTACGCATCTCATCGCTTTGAGTTGAACAGACAAAGGCTTCCATCTCTGACTCCTTTTCAGTGGTTGCTGGGTAAACTAATAAAGTTCAGTGTTCTGGAAGGCAAACAACTATCAATTGAACCTACCAAGCCCATTAAGGGCTTTAAACCTAATCTAAATGTTACAAGAAAGTGATATAATGATCAAATGTTTCAAATGCTAGGCTTAGGTAAGGAGATAAGAATGATGAACCTTTTGTTTAATTAGATTTAAGTCTAACATTGTAAAAAGAGAATACAAAGAGGAGTTAGTGCTTTGGTGTGTTTCTAAAGTAAAGGAAGGGTGCAATTCCTCCTGGATATTATTTTTTTAAACAAATGAGTTTACTCGCACAAATTCAAACTGTCTGTTCATTCCAATGAGTAGTCAAGTGGAAGGAAATAATCTTAAAATAAACAAGTTCAATACAAAATTCCAAAGGTTTAATTTTAGGGAACCACTTCAGAAGCCCTGTACTTAAACAAAAAAGAGATAATTAAAAAATAAAATCTGGACTGTAGCAAAGCAACATTCATCTTTATAAATGTTGTATAAAGACAAAAACACTGGACTGGACTGCACTGATCCAGGGTGTGGGTTTTTATTCCTCACAAATGACGTCATGGTTTTGTTTTGTTTTTCAGGATCTGGGCCATGGCCGCAGCTGTGCCTACTGTCGCTCGTTTCATTGGAATAAGTGAGAGTTCATCTGTAGAAGACTATCCAAAGTAAGATTTAACCTATTGCCTAAACACATGCGTTTATATGCTCTTTATTTTGCAGTTGTGTCAGTCTGTGCCTCCCTTGCTTTCACTGTGTAACTGTACTCCAGGCCACTGCAAAAATCATCCATCTTATAACAAGAAAAAAAATATGTGATTTGAGTTTATACAGACTTGAAACAAGTGTAATAATCTGCCAGTGCAGTGAGATAATTAGACTTATTAAGAATTCTTAAAATAAGAATAATAATTCTTGAAATAAGAATTCTTAAAATAAGAATAATAATTCTTGAAATAAGAATTCTTAAAATAAGAATAATAATTCTTGAAATAAGAATAATAATTCTTGAAATAAGAATTCTTAAAATAAGAATAATAATTCTGGAAATAAGAAATATATGGATGCTAGAAAAGTGGCAAATGTCCTGAAGTAAGCAGAAAAACACTTATTCCATCCACAGGTATAAGCCAAATATACTCAAAACAAGTTGTCAAATTTTCTTTTACCATTTGTTTATTTCTGAATTCAAGTAGACAGATCTCAAAACAAGAACCTAGCATGCATTTTACAAAACGTATGAATTAATCATGACGATAATTTTAAACTTAAATTATAACATTGAAAACCACTCAACATTACTTTGTGTTAGATAACCAAAAATGAAGAATTATAACTTAAGAGCTTCAATATTATTGTTTTCTCTTATTGTTGAACAAAAATTCTCAAACACTGAATGATAGAAAGTCATGTCTCTTGTGTCCAAAGTATCAATGCAAAAACAGATACTGGTACCAGTATCAATTGTTAACAATAACTAGCCCAACTACCACCTAGCTCACCCACATTGTATATGTCTAAGCGAGCATGAGTTGTGCCCAGCAAATGGGCACGACTCAATATATAGACCTAAAAATGACTGGCTTTTTAATTACATTACAAAGAGCAAAGTTGCAATTTTCAGCTGATCATTTGTAAAGTGCAATGATCAAATTTGTATTGCTAGTTGCACCTTAAAAACAAAAGGTGGAAAACCTGCTGGCTGAATGTGGGCAATGCCCACAGAGAGGTGGCTATGGCAAGTGACCCTTACTTTGAAGGTGCAGCTACCTGCAGTTTGAGGAAAGGAGGGCTGGAAGGAAATGATGGGCTGACTATTGCATTTTTGTTTTTGTACATGAGTTGTTTTCTGGGATGTTATTCTCTCCCATAGACATTGCGGGTGAGCATTGTAGAAACAGGTTGGGAACCTAACTACCACCAAGATCTACTCCCCAATAAAAGCTTTCCACTCAGCCATGGCTTTTTTGTATGAGGCTGTGGCGTCTCGGTCATGGATAGTATCCTTCAATATTTCTGTTTGAATAATAGAGGAATGTTGATTATCAGTAGCTGGATTCTTCAGTTTCTATCCAGCATGTCATTCCTCACTAAGTTCGTAACTCTTTTGCAGACAGTTTCTCAGATTCGGTAAGAACACAACATCATTATCCTGTAGCTTAGCTTAGTATTGTACTTCCCACAGCTACAGAGTTTTTTAAAGCAAAATGTTTGTAGATTGAATAAACTGAGCTGAAGTAATGGCATCTCCCTCATCATTAATATATCCTTACTGTCTTTGTCCACTGTTTCTCACCAGCTCTACAGAATATTACTATGATGCATACGATGAGAATGAGACGTTCGTTGGGGGGTGTGTGTATCAGCAACACGGGGCCAGTTTTCTTCCCGCCCTCTATGCAATCTTCTTCCTCACAGGCCTTCTGGGTAACTGTCTGGTCATCTGGGTTTTAACACGTGGGGTTCGCCTCCGCAGCATGACGGACGTGTGCCTCTTAAACTTGGCTGTAGCTGACCTTCTCTTGGTGTGCACCCTTCCCTTCCTAGCCCACCAAGCCCGGGACCATTGGCGGTTTGGGGATGCCATGTGCAAAGTGGTCCTGGGTATTTATCACATTGTTTTTTACTGTGGGATCTTCTTCATCAGTCTAATGAGCATCGACCGCTACTTGGCTATAGTACACGCTGTTTACGCTATGAGAGCCCGGACGAGGTCCTTTGGAATGATCGCAGCAGCTGTTACATGGGTGGTTGGATTTATGGCTTCTTTCCCTGACCTGATCTTTCTCCAACAACAGCCAGGTCCTAATGCAACTCAGGACTGCTACCCCGTCTTTCCCAACTCTCATTACTGGAGGATCTTCAGCCTTTTTAAAATTAACATGTTGGGTCTATTTGTCCCACTTCTCATCATGGGCTTCTGCTACTCACAGATTGTCTGGAGGCTGCTGAACAGCCAGTCATCCAAGAAACAGGCCATCCGTTTAGTTCTCATAGTGGTAGTTGTTTTCTTCATCTGTTGGGTCCCCTACAACATTGCATCCCTCTTCAAAGCACTGGAGCTATTGCAAATCATTTCTGACTGCCAAAGCAGCAAAGCCATCAGATTGGCGTTACAGGTCACTGAGGCCATTGCCTACTCTCATAGCTGCCTTAACCCCATCCTGTATGTGTTTGTTGGGGAGAAGTTCAGGAGGCACCTGTTTAGGTTGATAAACAGGGCTCCCTGCAGACTGTGTAAAATAGTCAAGGTCTGCATACCTCAGGACAGAATTACCGGATCAGTGTACTCGCAGACCACCAGCATGGACGAGAGGAGCACTGCTGTCTAATGTCTGTTCCTGTTATGGCTATCTCCATCCCTGGTCATCTCTACAATGAGGACATGTATTGCAAAGTCAAAACTAGGTAATTCTCAACTTTTATATTGTATTTTAGAACTTCACTTCACTCATAATTAGGTTTAGGTTAATGAAGGGTATACATTTTGGAGTGGGAGTTAAGTTAGACAGTGATGTATTTTTAAGAATACAGTGGAGTGTATGTGATTCTGTTAGAGACACAGACATGATTTTATGGTTTTAGGATGTTGTATTGAAGTCACATGCATGGAAATACATTATATATTTTTAAATGTTATCACATAAATATAACGAGTTGTACTGTTAATACGGTGTTGGATATGTGAGATTTATGACTGAGTTTGGATTGGAACAGAATGGATCAGAAGTAACCATTTTAGTTATTTTTCTGAATGAAATTGTGTTTAATCCCACTGAGTCAAAACCTGTAAACGTCAGCATATAAACCCCGGTAACCTCAATTAATCTTCAGCTACAAATTTAACAGACGCAATGCAACAAGTCAAAGATAAAGTCAGATACTGATCTTTCCTTTCATTCATTCGCGGAAACACCACTAAGTCTGCGTTGGTTTTGTGTATGAAGTTATTGCATGGCAAAAAGTCCCCGGTGCAGCTGGAAACCAATGCAAGTTTCACATATGCAGCAGCAGACCTGCACCAAACATCGAACTAGAGGAAACCACAACTTGAAAAAGGAGGAAGTAAGTGGTTGGTTTAACACTAGCAGTCCCTGTGCACAAAAGCGCATTATCACTGTAAATTCGTTTTTAAAGCATACTTTTGTTGTGAAATTATTCAGCATTCCACAAAAAAACACATTATTCTAAAAACGACTGTACCCTGTATTCTGTCATGCAGACTGAAAGCATCACATTCAATCATTACAGTTCAAGGCGTTCATTAGACTCACGGAAAATACAAGATATACAGGTTCCTTTCACCTTTTGAGCTTGTTCCTCAATATGTATATACATTTTATGTTAGTATTCAACATGTCTATTTTTTGTTTGCTGACAGTTTCATTGGTAAAAATAGATGGTGGTATCTTAAGTGATTCATTATTTGCTATACTTTGCTACTTATTTATCTAAATAGTTATCACCGCAATAAACCATATTTAATTTTGTCTTAAATGTACAATATCAATTTCCTATTATGTTCTTGTATATATCATATTCTATTTACATGTATATAGACTTCTTGCACTATTTCTTATTTGTACTTGATTATATATCGTTGAAGGAGCTTGGGTCATAATATGTTCATTGCCATTTCTACACTGTAGCTTATGTGCTTATGTGCACATGACAATAAAACCTTTGAATCTAATGTTTATATTTCTTCTTTATTTTCACAGTAACCATGCTGTTATAATGTAGACTGAATGTGCCAAAATAAAACTATTTCTGTAAAGTTTATGTTTTGTTTAGTATGTATACCAGATTATTTTCAATACAATTGTAATATATTATATCACACATTTTTGAAAAGTTCCTTTCTATTCTATATACTGAAGTACATTTTTGTGCAGTATATGCCTTTGAGGATGACATTCTTGTCCCTTTAAATGGCTAAATCAATGGACAATTCAGCATTATTAGGACACATACCATTGTGGTCACATTCATATTCACTCACATGCAAAAGCAAAGGCACAACATTAACGTTACAGTAATATATTATTGTGACGTTAGATCATGGCAGATTATGAGTACAAGATCATAAAAACGGAAATATTTGTTTAGAGAGGGATCAGGATAAGATGATTTATTTATTTATGATGGGGGTTCCCAGTGAGAAATCATCCTGGGAACCCCATCATTGAATTCCTTGACTAACAAGAGAAAGATTAATTCATTTAAATAAATATTTAACAACAAATGGGCCTGTTCTAAGGGGTTATTCAGTTAAGCCCGATGAGAGGGGATACAGATGTGCACATGTCATCATTAACAGACGTCGTTTAAAAGTGACGTTTGAGTGAACGAGTCACCCTCCTCGTGTCTCTCGCTCGCATCTTACGGAGGCGGAGCTAAAACGCAAGGAAGGGAAGCGAGTGAGGGAAAGGAGGAGTCGAGGAGGGGTATTGGGATGAGGCTAATGTATGATGGTTGGTCCTGCTTTTGTGTTCCGTTTTGGTGTAAAATAGCCTACATTTAAATAAAAATATAATTATAGTAATGTGAAAGCCTTTTAGAAATGAATTGCACATAATAATTCCCACGGAGCTGTGAGCACTTATACATTTATGTGACGCTTTTCCACTCATCTTCCAGTTGTCAGTTTTCCTCTGTTGAAATCGACCAGCTGTGAAGGTGGGGGCGGGGCTTTTATACGCGAGGAGTGAAAACACTTCCGCGTAGTCTGCTCGCGTGTATCCCCTCCCTTTCGTCTCCTCCCGCACCCCCCGGGAAGAGAGGAGTCGATGAGGGGTATTGTGCAGCGGCAGCAGCTCCACTGCTGCATCGGAGCCTCGCTCTCCTGCACCTCTGAAATGTGGCTGCCTGTCAACAAGCAGCAACAAGTGAATGTGTATCAGAGGTGGGACCAAGTCATTGTTTTGCAAGTCACCAGTAAGTCTCAAGTCTTTGCACTCAAGTCAAGTCGCAAGTCAGGTTGGGCAAGTTCAAGTCAAGTCCTAAACTTTGAAAACCGAGTCTTAATCAAGTCATTATGTGCTTTTCAACATAACAGTTACATACACATACAATGAAGTAACAGTTTAATTCAGCCACACAATTTGTGTCTTTTTTTATTATGAAAAACTATGTGAAGTGTGTGTTTGTTATTGTCAGACCGAGTGAGTGAGTGAAAAACACAAGTTATAGATGCATCAATCTCAGGGTCCAAGAGACCACATTTGCCAAGATTAAGCACAAGCTGAGAAACATAACAGTTGCATAAACATACAATTAAGTAACAGTTTCATTCACCCACACTTTTTCTATTATCACAGGGCCCTATAATGCATTGCATTTACAAAAGACCAAATTGGTCGATAGTCGGTCACTCATGTGTGCACGATGGGGTCACAGGATGATGCCACCATGGCTAAAAACTCGCTCCACCGGAGCACTGGAGGCAGGCACTACCAAAACTCTGATGGCCACTTTGAACAGCGAAGGAAGAACCTTCATGTTCATTGCCCAGAACAAAAGGACATTCTGTCCGTCAGCAATGTGGAGATAGTGCAGCTGCAGTGCTCCCAACATCCTTCTTCTGCCTCTTATGGTACGCAGCAAACAGCCCTTCACCTTGTCCAAGGCTCTCTTGCTCTTTCTTCCTCATCAACACAAGGCGTAGGTTGCTCTGTCTCCACAGCCTCTCGCAGGATCAGTTCTGGCGAAACATATAAAAACAAAACAAAAAAGACACAAAAGAGCCCTTATTATATTTTGTATTGGTGATGCAGTAGGTTAAACTGAACACATTATTGTTGCAATCAATTATTATGAGTAACATAGTAGTAATAAACTCAATTAAAGGTCCCATGTCATGCTTTTCTGGTTATTACCCGTCCCCTTGTGTGTTATGTAGCTTTTTCTGCATGTAAACGGTCTGCAGAGTCACAAACCCTCAAAGTACACCCTGTAGTGAGTAAAACTTCAACACAGAAAAGACCTGCCTATGCTGCCCCAGAACGCCTCGTTGGAGATTTCTCTTTCCACCTGGGACCAGGTTAAAATAATTAAATTGCATGCATGTTATTTTAGTAAACACTGAAAATGGGTCCCACAGACCCAAACAGCACACAAAGGTTAAAGGTAAGCATGTAATAATGTTAAAATGTGCTAAATATATACACTGCAAAAAACAAGAAAAGAGGAGTAAAAGTAGCTCACGACTTGTTTTATTTTTTGAAAGTAGTTCTCATCCTAAAAAAGGTTGGATACCCCTGTTGTAGAACGATACATTTGACAATTTTAAGCTTGGCCTACCATTTTATTGGAGCGATGGGGAACAGGTGGGGCTTGAAAAGGCCCACCTGTTCAAAGTGGGGAATGACAGAAAAAGTTTGAGAACCACTGACCTAACCTAACCACCCTAACCCCAGTTTCTGGACCCTTCTTCTCTTTTTTAATGGCGGATCGCGAACAGCTTTTAGTTACACTGCCACCTAGCGAGCAGGAGACATTACAGTTTTTCTCGTTTGCTAACACACTAAAATTATACATGAAGCACAATTATTTTAACTGACACTCAAAGAGCAAAACATCGGCTCAAATCTCCAAAACTCTAAACACATTTTCAGCTTTTCACACAATTTGCAAATCAACATGGCACTTTGTGCAAACCACTGCACACGTTTCTCCACGTAAGACACAGGAATCTGGCATAAAGTCACGTGTTAGCAGGTTCAAAACACTGATATTCAAAATGCCTCACACAAACACCTGGTAGCATAATTGTTGGCTCATCAATCAGGATGTTAGCACAATAAAAAGACCACAAGTGAGAACTTTCTTACAGCAACAATGGAATCCAACATGGAAGCAAGAGGAAGAGGAAGAGGAAGAGCTGGGCTGAGAGTGAGAGGAGGAGGAAGAGGTGGGGTGAGAGTGAGAGGAGGAAGAATGAGAGGTAGAGGTAGAGCTGGAGGGAGAGGATGTGGACAAAGAAGAATACTCTCATGATATCAGTGCTTATATCTGTTGTGTGAAACGTATTTACTTCATTACTGTAATTGAATTGTTAGCATGTTGCATACTATAACTGTACAAAAATCCTGCACAATGTACTGTGGTAAACTCACTTTGATGCAACACAGACACTGACCATCCACTATATCTTTGTTGTTTATCTGAAGGACTGAGAAAGAGGTGCAGGTGGAAGGCTAAGGATGTTCAATGAGGCAGGAAGCAGCAGTTACTAACTGGGTTTTGACAAACAATGCATCACACTTAGAGAGATCTGAAGCATAGTAACTATGTGCTGAGATGCATGTTGCACAATGTTATCTTTGAATACAATGTGATTTATTTCAACAACTCATTTGTGTTTCTTCATTTACTGTATTTCTGTAAACTCAAGCAATCTTTCTCTGCAGAAACCTCTATGTACAGAGCATAGCCCATAACAGATGAAAGTGCTTTAGATGATGCTCAGCAGTGTGTAGTTGGATGGTCAAACCATCCAGTATTATGAATGAAGTGTGTTATATCTGGTGCTAAAGTTTGCATTTGGAAAGTGTTTATGTAATTTTGAGTGCATTTAGCAGGAGAAATGAGGAGTTTTGCACTTTGGGTGTGTGGTTTTGTGAATTGTGTTTAGTGTTCTGAGAAACTGAGCAATTAAAAAATAAATGTGTGTTAGCAATCGAGAAAAACTGTAAAGGCACTAAAAACAATTATTCGTTAGCTATAGCTTTCGGCAAAATAAACTGTTAGCATATTTGATTATTTGTTTAATGAAACTGTAGCGTGATTTTGGCAAGCTCTAGTAGTAGCTATAGTAGCCTAGGTGTCCTACATTAATTGTTGATGTAATCACTAATTACAGTAAGAGTGTGAGTAATGTGAACCGTGTTGTTTGTTTAAAGTTAACAGCAATACAAGCAACACGTGCTAAATGTGAGTCTTACAGGGAAACACGACGCTGAAGTTGGCTTCCGATTCAGAGCATCCGATTCGGCAGTTAAGGGGAAAGTTAAGGGACATGCATTCGGCAGTTAAGGGGAAAGTTAAGGGACATTTAATTGACAGCGCTGAGCGAACAATCCTCCGTGTTTGAACCTCTTATTTGGACTGGATTATCCCAGAGAGTCTAAAGATTCTTTATAACCCAGTTTGAAATTTGTGAAACCTTTATTCTATTTGTGAAATACAAAAAAGGGAGATTTCAGTGCTTTTTTCGCATCCTGACCACATTAGACCGGCCTAATTTATAACGCCGTGCGTAGGATTCACGTGGGAAGGTTGCTTACGTAGTAGAAATCCAAAAAATAGGTACAGAAAGTTTCCGACATTTTCCGATTCACCAAACATTGCGTACCGGCGAGGAAAGTGCGTACGGCACTTCCTACGCCGGTTTCCCTTTATAAATCACAATCGACTCGAAATGCGGCGCAACTTTTGCGGGCTTCACGTAACGCCCATATTTGCCTATAAATAGTCAAAGAAACGCCCATTCATTCATTCATTTTGACTGACTTTATGAAGAAGATCGCAGGAAATGACGGCAGAGCAGCTAAAAAAGACATCTCACACCGTGTCAGATTTTGGTTCTTTTGGGGAGGTCGAGATCAATCATATTGTTTGGTGGATGCAGTTTGAACCAGAGTAGCAACATGGAGGTCGGATCGTCACCAAAATAAATAAATAAGTGGTCCGAAAAAGGTTAATGACAAAATAAATTCTTTCACACACAGTGACGTCATGAGCTACCCACAATGCAACACGCGCTATATATATATATATATATAAATACGCCATTTTCATGGAGGTGCAAATATCCTGGAAGTGCAAATATAAACAGCTAGCTAACGTAGCCAGGCAGAGCGCACTAGGTTTTTTTTCTGAATTAACGACCGAAGAAATCGCTGCATGTCTTCGGATTACATCTCTGGACTTGAGGGGTGTGCTTTAGGTCGTTACCAGCGTAAACTAGAGCTGTGTGGGTTGTCAGATTGCCCTTACAGACTGCCTGCAGATGTATGGAAAAACGACCCTCGAAAGTGGCCTTCGTCGATTTTGGCTGCATCTACGTCTAATTTCTGGAAACACCAGGTGAATACCCCACTTGTCACAATAATATTATCATGCCATTGCATATATGTGGTATTTTAGAGTTGACTAGATATTGATTAAGGCAATAGACTATGATATTCAGTACAGGAAGCTTAGCAACACCTAGACGGTGTACGGCTAAACCCTTGGCCTGCTTGCACCTCGCGTAAAACGGCGGATACCGGAAGTACGGTGTCGCCCTCGGCCCAAAACCCGTATGTGTGTGTGAAAGAATACACATACTTCCTCAGGCAGTGTGTTTGTACCGGGGACAGGAGACGCCCCCTTGATGAGAAACTGTAAGAAATGATCGGGGAATCCCTCCGGAGTGGAATCATGACGACTGGATCTGAATTATGTTTTTGTATTTGGTGGTTTGTGTCCCAGCTGTCGATCAGCTGTGTGCAGCGTCTCCGCTGCAGCCTGTGCCTCTATATATCCACCAGTTAAAGGAAATACAACTAATGTGTTGTGTTAGGCCTATATTAGCTGTACAATTGACCACATATGGTGTTCTTAGTTTCCATACCTCCTGTGTTTTACGAGCGACTTATCAAGTCTTGGCAAACGGCATAAAACACGATTAAACGTGATAGTATATAAAACCATGCTCGTATAGAAATGCAAAACTGCGTCAGTTTAGACGTAATTCTGTCCTCCTGCTTACCGCATCATTTATGAGAAAACATGTCATAACATTAACACAACATATTGGAGGTGGTTTTAAATAACATATCCGTATTTATTTATTTCTCCAAGTTGTGTTTTTGTGTGCACTGAGGAGTCTCAAACAGGCGTTTGTTTAATCATTTTAAGATTGGCTTTAATCAATTTGTGAAAATGAATTCTTCATATATGATAAATGAGAGGTAACATTTTATTTATGGTATTATTTCCACATATTTCTCTCCATTCTTCCTTCTGCCAATTAAACAAAGATAACACTGAGGTAATGGTTTTTGGAGCCAAGGCAGAACGTATAAAAGTTAGCGCTGAGCTTCAGTCTGCAATGTTCAAAACAACAGATAAAGCCAGAAATCTAGGTGTAGTCATGGACTCTGACCTGAGTTTCAACAGTCACATTAAAACAGTTACTAAATCAGCCTACTATCACCTAAAGAATATATTTAGGATTAACAGACTAATGTCACAGCAGGATTTGGAAAAACTTGTCCATGCTTTTATCTTCAGTAGACTGGACTACTGTAATGGTGTCTTTGCAGGTCTCACTAAAAAATCTATTAGAAAGCTGCAGCTAATTCAGAACGCCGCTGCTCGAGTCCTCACTAACACTAAGAAAGTGGATCACATCACTCCTGTTCTGAAGTCTTTACACTGGCTTCCTGTGTGTCAAAGAATAGATTTCAAAATACTGCTACTGGTTTATAATGCTTTGAATGGTTTAGGCCCAAAATACATTTCTGACCTACTGCTAAATTATGAACCATCCAGAACTCTCACGGCCCGTCCACACTACAGCTTCGACAGCTTCAAAAACGGTTTCCAACGCGTCTGCCCATTCACTTTGAATGGGGTGACATCACGTTGCCTCGCTTTTCTCCGAACTGAATTGTGGGTATTATAGCGGTCCGTCTCCGGCGTCTCCGGCGCGCTCCGGACGTCGGAGACGCCGGAGTAGCCAGCGCCAGCCAATCAAATCCCGTTTCTGAAAATCTGACAGCTCAAGCCCTAGCCAATCAAACCGCGTCTAAGCTGGGAGAGATATCCCACTGTTCATTTCTATATTTAAAAATAAAATGGAGGAGAAACTAATTATCGCTGTAGCAAATCACCCGGTTTTGTATGACCAGACCCTCTTCAACTACCGGGATACAAACCGGAACGGTACGTCCACACAGCAGCTTTTCAAAAATCTTGAAAATCTTGGAGTTGGGCGTGTCTGAAAGCTTGGGGATTTCGCGACCAACAACCAATCACATGAATCTCCCGCCCCCGACATACAAAGCAAAAAACCCCGGTTCTTCTCCACTATTTCTTTTAACATTTTGAACATTTATGAGATTAATGTCTATGGTGCTATTTTATGCTACATTCCATGCTGGCTAATGATACTGTCTATGCTTGCTAGCAACGAAGTAAACTAGCAACGAAGTAAACTGGATATAAAATCCCCAAACAAGCGAAAACCTACTAGTTTCACCCACTGTCTCTGCCACCTCCCTCCATGCCTGGTTCCTCCGGTTTGTATCCCGGTAAGTAAATAGGGACTGGTCATAAAGAACCGGGTGATTTGCTACCGCAATAACTAACTTCTCCTCCATTTTTGTTAGGAATATAGAATGAACTGCGGTCTGGCTCTCCCAGCTTGCACGCGGTTTGATTGGCTAGCGCTTGAACTGTCAGATTTGCATAAACGGGATTTGATTGGCTGACGCTTCCAGCTCAGCTTCAAAAGTTGAACATTGCTCAACATTGGAATCCTGAACATCCTCGAAATCCTGGAAATCTTCGCCTCGCCCCCCCAAAATGCAGTTCGGCGACAAGCGAGGGAAAGTGACGTCATCCCCATTCAAAGTCAATGGGCGGAGACGCGCTGGAAGCCGTGGACAAATCGCCAAAAGCTGCTGTGTGTACGGGCCGGAAGAACCAGTCATGGAGGGAGGTGGCGGAGACAGTGGGTGAAACTGGTAGGTTTTCGCCTGTTTTGGGGAGTTTATATATATATATATATATTGCTCGCATAAAATCCCTGGTTTTTTTTGCTTTGTATGTCGGGGGCGGGAGATTCATGTGATTGGTTGTTGGTCGCGTTGCTCGAATAAAATCCCCCAGCTTCAGACACGCCCAGCTCCAAGCTTTTTTTGAAGCTGTAGTGTGGACGGGCCGTCGGGTCTTCAGAGACTGGTCAGCTTTCTGTCCCCAGAGTCAGAACTAAACATGGTAAAGCAGCGTTCAGTTATTATGCTCCAAATATCTGGAACAAACTCCCTGAAACCTGCAGGTCCGCTGCAACTCTGACTACTTTTAAATCCAGACTAAAGACTTTTCTTTTTGCCGCTGCTTTTAATTGAACTATTCACATCTTAAACTGCACTGTAACTTTTATCCATGTATTTTTTCTTTTAATGTTTCTTTTATTATCTTTTCTTTTTAATGACTGATTTTAAATGCCATTTTCTTAATGTCTTTCGTTTTTTGTAAAGCACTTTGAATTGCCTTGTGTTGAAAGGTGCTATATAAATAAACTTGCCTTGCCTTGCCAACGGTGTCACAGTTTGTTGTCCCTCCCGTGTTTGTGCTTAGTGCGTACGCATGGGTTACGGCCCGTCCACACAGTAGCTTTGAACAAATCTTGAAAATCTTGGAGCTGGGCGTGTCTGACAGCTTGGGGATTTTTTGCGAGCAACACGACCAACAACCAATCACATGAATCTCCCGCCCCCGACATACAAAGCAAAAAAAAACCGGGATTTTATGCGAGCAATATATATATATAAACTCCCCAAACAGGCGAAAACCTACCAGTTTCACCCACTGTCTCTGGCACCTCCCTCCATGCCTGGTTCCTCCGGTTTGTATCCCGGTAAATAGTTCTGGTCGTAAAGAACCGGGTGATTTGCTACCGTAATTTCTCGTTTGGAATATGAGGAAATGAACTGTGGTCTGGCTCTCCCTGCTTACACGCGGTTTGATTGGCTAGAGCTTCTACTGTCAGATTTGCATAAACGGGTTTGATTGGCTGACGCTTCCAGCTCAGCTTCAAAAGTTGAACATTGCTCAACTTTTTAATCATGAACATCCTGGAAATCCTGGAAATCTTCGCTTCGCTCCCCCACAATGCAGTTCGGCGACAAGCGAGGCAAAGTGACGTCATCCCCATTCAAAGTCAATGGGCAGAGAAGCGTTGGAAGCGGTGGAAGAATCGTCTAAAGCTGCTGTGTGGACGGGCTGTTAGAGTTTGCGCGGAGGACCGCACATTTACCCGTCAAGTTAGTATTTTATAAATCGCAAACATTGCGTAGAAACTGGCGTATGCCATTTTTTGAGCGTATATCCCTTTATAAATGAGGCCCCAGGTCCTGATCTGAAACCACTAGACCTACACTCATCAAATCTGGACTGGATTATCCCACAGAGGCTAAAGATTCTGTATAACACAGTTTCAGATTTGTGAAACCTTTATTCTATTTGTGAAAATACAAACAAGGGAGATTTCAGTGCTTTTTTTACAGACCACATTAGACCAGGTCCTGATCTAAAACCACTAGACCTACACTCATCAAATCTGGACTGGATTAATTAAAGACCCATAATTAACATTAGAATATCAATACAAATAGTTACATAGTCAGTTACATTACTTATTACATTTTTAACAGGGTAATTAGTCATTTGCAACCTACTACATTTCAAAAGTAAACTTCCCAACCCTGATAATTAATTATACTCAGCTAATTAATTAAACTTCAAAGGATGACAAAAGCATGTCAATATCTGTCTGTCCACTACATTAAATCAGCAGTAGCCTAAGTTCTGTCGTCAGTGTAAATGCATCTTTAATAGTCATTGTATTACTATTTGAATTCATTGTAAATAATCTTAACTTTGCTGACTTGAGGATGGTGATTCTGCAATCTGCACGCTAGCCCTTACCTGCAAGAACTTGAACTACATTGTGAGCCAGTGGTCATTCCAAAAGGAAACCCACTTCAACTGGCTTGACAGTAAGTTTATTAAGTGTCTTTACTTCTGCCTTCTCCTATCCTAGTATTATTATGAGTTTGGTTGAACTAAAAAAGTTGATTGACTAAGAGTAAGGTCAAATAAATTAAGGTTTTGTTCTTTTTCTGTCTGAAATGTAATAGTCTTATGACATTTTACTTCAGGTGTCGTCAACAAAAGGGAATTCAGGACGGCCTACTGAATTTCCAGGTGCTTTCACTGTGACAACCATTATAAGGACGTCGGCACAGGCTACCGGGGAAGTGGACGGCGAGAAATCTTGCAGGGTTTTTACTCCGAAGAGGGCTTCCCGGGGTACTGCAGCTGGAGCTGTTGTCTGGTGGCTGAGGGAGCAACAGACCGCGCCTCACCCCAGTGAAGACTCCTCATTGTGGAAATTGTGCCCAATGTATGGAAGCAAACACGAGACTGAAGTAGGGGTGTAACGGTATCCGTATTCGTCCCGTACCGTCACGGTTCGGTCGTCACGGTTCGGCACATGCAGTAACACGGCGATATGGGCATAGATATGTCTCATAATTATTTGTGTGAACATACAAATAATTTGTGTGTAAATATGTGATTTGTAAATGTAAAACACCATCCACAAATGCATTTAAAAGATTTGCAAACTCACAAATAAATTTGCAAGTCTAAAACAGATCTGCAAATACGCTAAATATGTTCACAAATAAAAAAAAGATCTGTGAATATCTCTTTAACATTTACAACTTTCGATCAGGCATTTGTGAATCCATTTTGTATTTGTCGACCAAAAGTGCGCTAGCGGATCTGAAATCTCTGCTCGTGGATCTCACATTTCTGCTTGTGGATCGTCTTTTTACACACACGGAAT